CCCCCCCTCTCATTATACTGCCTCACTGCACCAGAAGTCGCTGTGAAAGTCTAACGTTGTTATAAAGGGACCAAAAAAAGATTTCTGTTAATAAATTTCACAAGCATCAGATGTGTTGTTTTTTTGAAGAGAATCAATTTCACCCAGCGTGTTTCCTGAAAGATGCTCTTTATTTAAACATGTATGTACAGGTAGTTTCAGCTTATTTTCTGCATATTTGTTCAATATTCAACATTAGGACCGTCATAAATTCACTACTACTACAGAATGCTAAGTCATCAGAAGGAAGGTAAGGTGACCAAGGGCAACACTTTGCTTGACAGGAGTCACTGAAGTCCTAAATATACTCAAACATACACCGTCTATTGTAGTCATTTACAAGAGTTGCATTCAATTCCTGGTGTTTTATCAGAAAAACGCAAGAAGAAATTAGTAGGATGCAAAGATTTGTCAGCAATATGGATAATGACTGAATGATGACATGCTACCACAGTCAATATTGATGTGGTGACTTGAGGATGAGCAAGTGTAGTGGACCATTTAAAATCATTCAATATAATATCCCACCATGTTTATCAAAAAAAAAGATGAATTGATGTTCTATAGTTGCACAATCTCAGAGAAAAATGAAAAGAAGATGATCATGGTGATCCACCTCACTCTTAAATGTTATTTATTCAGTGTTTATGACTATGGTAAAAAGAAGGGTAAACGTTATCCAGGGTTATTTATAAATTAATTTTCCCTCTGAACAAGTTGTCCGAATCAAAATAAATGTTTATGCATTGTTACAATACTCTTTTTGGCCACAAGAGGCTGATTTCATGTTCTAAACGGGACGGGAAGCATTTGTATTTTTCCTAATGGCAGATTAGAGACAATAAAAATGCATAATTAGACATCAAAAGACATCACAGTAATAATTTAGCTTAGCATTTAAATCAAACTTAAAAAATGGATAATCAGAATAATTTGTTCTCATTTGCCTCTCAGGGATTCCTATAAGGTTAACCAGAGTAATAATAGTTGTGAACCAGTGGATACCACGCTACAATAATGGGTCATGTTTAGATGTACTGCCATTAAGAAGTGGCCTTTGTAGAGTGAAATGCAAATGTTTGGAAACGAACCTGTAATGACCACATTTTATAGCAACATTTCAATGGAGTTTTTGTCACCGAAGAACATTTTCCGTAAGTATTTGCTATGTTTTTAAATGTTTATCTTCAATGAATACCAAATATTTTTTGACTGTCAAAGTTTTAAATCAAGCACATCAGATATTACAGAATAACAGAGGATTAAACTGATGTTAGAGCCATTGCATGGAGTCACAATGATTGCTTAGCTCCAGTACAAAAGCCGATTTGTGGGTTTCCTTAAGTGAAAAGGTTCACTGATTGATAAAGGGCTGCGATGGAGGAATAAATCCCCGTTGTCCATCGTGACGGGACGAAAACAGATGTTTATTTTCTCCCGTCAGACAGATCCCCAGCATTTATATTTCACCGTTTGGTCATTGTGCTTTTAGTTCTGTAAATGGCTCCACTCGACCACATGATCACAGACCATATTGTCATCTTAAAGGAACGTTTCATGATGGGTCTAATTAAAGGTGTGTATTGATCAGTTTTTTTATTTACAATTCCCCTTCCCTGACCCAATTACAAACCTGCTTCCTGAACAGATGCGAGGCGAAAGCAGTTAGACGAGGTTCTCTGAGTTACAGGAAGTGATGTATGACGTGTGATGCGATGTGAGTGTTTCTGATACGGGGTCTTAGCGGTTACATGACGGCACACTGCGTGGCTCCACAGCAGTCCTTGATGACGGCCACTCCTGACTTGGTGATGGACGGCTTGTTGGGAGGTGGCTCTGGTATTTGTCTCTTCGGCTTTGCAGCGTCTTGCCATAAAGAAAGAGGACAGATAAATCAGATCAAAAGTGAACAATACTCCTACTCTGAGTGTGTGTTTGTGTAAACTCACTTTGTGTGGCTTTGAGTTTCTTCTCCAGAGGCATCAGCTTCAGTCTCAGATACTCGGCCATCTCCTTGTCCTCCTCTTGCTCCCTGTGATACATTAAGTCACATGATCAGCTGTTTGAATACAATGCAACAGAACAGGCTGCTTTTACTGTTAGTCACCGGACCTCTTCACGTACCTGACCCGCAGTTTGTACCTCTTCTGGGCCTTCTTCTCAGAAAACCTTTTATGTGTGAGGTTATAAACTGGTGATTGCTAAGGTCTATTCGGCTGTTTAGGTTTCAGGGTCCTGGTATTGTGCAGGCTGGCTGACTGTCATTACTTACTGGGACACCTGAATAGAGCCAATGTGTTGTTAGCCAGAGGTAAGATAACTCCACAGGCCTTTTTTTTTTTTTTATTACAACTCAGGATGCAAAAAATGCTAACGGAATTTTTGTATGGATTAATTAAAGTATTATTATATTTTTATGTATTTTGTTCCCCATACAACAAGATTACAACTTTTACCGTGTTATTCACACACAGCTAGTTCAAGTGTTTGTGTGTGTTTTAGTTTAGTTTTTAATCCTCTGTCAAATATGTATTCTTTTTGGTCTTTTGTTTGTACAAACATTTTAATTGGGTTAAATGTATCTACAAAACTCAAAAACTATTTACACCATTGTTTTTTCCGAACCAAATTACACATTTGTTCAAAAATGTAGAAAAAGTTTTTAAACAATTCAAAACAATGGAAATAATTATTTAATGCATAGCTGTTTTGCAATAACAGTATTTTATATTTGGTACATGGTATCCATAGCCGCCAGGGAATGAATCCCAAAGATTGTAATGACTATTCTAGAAACAGGTATTTATTCTCGATAAAAAATCTTGATAACTATTGGATTTTCTGTATGAACTGTTCATTTTGCTGGCCCTTCCCCTCAGCACCATGCTCAGGTCGAAATGTCTAATTGTTGTGCCTAGAGTGTAATGACGATATTAGAGAAGCACAAGCTAGAGCTTCACGCTGCTTTGATTTTGACAACATAACACAATGTTACACACTTTACTGTGGTGACATCATAGAGAATAACAATGATTAAATAATTGAAATACCCAAAAGAGAAGCAAATCTGATTACCCACTTTTAAAATTAACCTTTGTAATTGTACAGAAATGTAACATGATTTGATATCACAACCATTATCTCTGTGTGACACTATGTGGGGGCAAGGGAAGAGATGACAATACAGAGCCATGGTCATCAGTCAGCCGCACACACACACACACACACACACACACACACACACACACACACACACACACACACGTGCAGGCAGCGATGTGATGATGAACTGACCCCATCCCCCGCCTTCAGTCATGCTCACATTTCTTCTGAGTCTCCTTCCCACTGTTTCTCAACCATCCTATGTCTTTCAAGTGCAGACAAAGTGTCTGCAGTTCAACCCGACACTGTCAGTAAACACACATTCAGCTGTGTGTGTGAGTGTGTGTGTGTGTGTGTGTGTGTGAGTGAGAGTGAGAGTGAGAGTGAGAGTGAGAGTGAGTGAGTGAGTGTGTGTGTGTGTGTGCGGGAGCGGGAGCGCTGTACCTTAATCTCTCCACCTCTGCGTCGTCCACCAGGAAATCCCTCTTCTGCACCAGCTTATGGATCTTCAGGATCAACTCTTCTTCCCGCTGCCTCTGCTTCTTGTTTCTCTCTTTCTCTGGGGAGGTAAGGGAAGATGAAAGTCACTCAAACACAAAACAATAATAATGGACGACTGAAGGGACAAGCAGACTGATTTAAACCGTAATATCCTCACATTAAATATTAATAGAGCTACATTTTGTTACTCGCAACTAACCTTAACAAGCTGACCTTATAGCAAAGTCAGCTGAGTCACGTCACGAGCAGACCCTTAATTCTCCCCTATTAATAATTGATAAGAATAAAGGCAATGACTTTATTATGGAAATGCTAAAGAGATGTGATTTTGTGAATGATTTTGCCTTCACAGCCAGAGATCTTCAATATGAACGCAGCTTCCTCTTTGACTTGTCTAACTTTTCCAACCTTCACGCTCCAAAGCACAGAAAACACAAACACAAACACACATACACACACACACACACACAAGTTTTCTGACTCTGCTGCCGGTATGTATGGGCGAGGAGGGGGTTTGAAAAATGACTGCTAATATCAGCTCTTTCTCCCGTCAGGAAGCAAAGTGGAGCAGTGTAGCTCGGTGTGTTTTTCCCCCGGGGGCAGAACAATCTGAGGGGCGCGGGGGCTACAGCGGATACATCCCAATGTCAGAGGAAAGGGGAGGCTCATGTGACTCTCATTGTGCCGTGTGAGTGCAGTAATGGGCTGCCTGTCCCCCTAGCAACAGCACACATGAGGCCCCAGTGGCTCACAAGAATGTCAATAAGGGACAGTTTCTGTGTGACCGGTAATCCAGAATGCACAGAGGGCGGACAGATTAATAGTAACACATTACAATATATTACAATCTAATTAAAGGGGCAGACACCATTGATACAGTGAGGTCATGTCCTCTGGAATTTTGTTGCTCATACACTCATCTGACATCACATTCTCGCTGCATTTCAGGTACAGATAACACTGGAACTCACTATGGAGGTAAACCAATATTTGATGATGTACTCTGCGCCACAAACACACCACAGAAACATTGTGGACACCTGGAACGCCTCCCTCAGCTCATATTGCCTTCACAGTGAAGATGCATGAGTATGATAATCTCTGCCTCGTGTTTCCAGCTCGTCCCTGAGACTCACCATCAATCCTCCGTAGTTTAGCTCCATGACTCTCCCAATACATCAACCATGCCGCCTGCTGAGGTTATGGGATGCTGGCAAGCTGCAAACAGAAGCACTGAATGCCAAAAACTCTATTTTCGAGTCCAAACAGGGAGCATGGAGAGTTTTCCACACAGAAGATCGATTCTGAGAGGTTTATTTTCTGATATGCTGCTGCCTGCAGGAAATATATAAATATATGTGTGTTTGAAGTGTACCTGGTGCTGTGACAATCTGTCTCAGCTCCTGCTTTAAACTCATGATGTCTTTGCAGAGCTGAATGTCATCCATCCTAGGAAGAGAGAGAGAAAACAGTGAATATCTGGCTTACATCACATGAAAGATGATTTTATTATAGCTGCTTCCTGAACCCTGGAACAAAAACAGACTTCAACTGAACAATCTGCGGGAAGTTTCTATGCACTCAATGTGTTTCAATGTGAACAATTCTGTCAATTGCAAAAAGCACAACATTTATTTTGTAAAACTTAAATATGAGGCTCTATATACATTACTGTATTCGGGATTGTTAGAAACGGTATTTCGATCTCTGTCTGTACACACTAACTGAAAGATTGACAATAAAGTTGACTTTGACTTGATTTTGATTATACAAGGTTTGCCCTTTCCTGTAGTGTGTTTTATAGTTTTGGTTCTCCTTTGTTTACTTCCGTAACCTAGTGACATCACTATGTTACACTTCTATTGGCTAGCACTCCAACACATTGTACGTGATTGGTTAAGTGGCAGGACATCTCTAAGCAGTTGACCAATCACAACAGAGCCGGGCAGCTAACCAATCAGAGCAGACTGGGCTCTGGTTTCAGACAGAGGGTGAAAAGAGGTGCAGCACTTTAACCCTATTATAGGATGTTGTTTGATGTAAAAGATCTCACTTCTTGGTTGGATCCTATTCTGTACGAGCCATGTTCTACACCTTTAGGATAAAACAGATGTATAAAGAGGGAGTGTATTATAGTAGAATGCCTCTTTTTTAAACTACACATTTAGGTAATCTATCAGAAATCTTAATCTTCTTTTCAAAGAAAATGTCCAAAACATTCCAATTTGAAACGTATTAAACAAATGACTGTTAGATGCCTGTGACTTCATAACTTATAGTATATAGTTGACTGCATTTACTTGCACATTGGTCTTTTGCAACATTCCCTATTTTATTTATCTTCTTCATCTTGTATTTTGTTTTTATGTTTTATGTCTTACGTATAATATGTATATTTATATATATATGTTGCATTGTTGAAGGATCGTGGGACTTGCCCAAACTATACTTTGGCTACAGTGTATATGACAATAAAGCTTTTGAAACTTTGAAATAGCAATGCTTCTTTGAAACACAGATCAATAGAGATATGATATAGCCTTGGGTGAACAATTGATACAAACCTTGAAATCCTCTATTGTACACGCCATAAATGGACTGTTTTGTGTGTTTTCTTAATAAATCAGTGACGCTTGAATTAATGGACTGTCCTGTTGATTGAATAATTGATTAGTGTAGAAATCATTTCAGCGCTGCTGATCCCTGCTGCTGTGCTGTAGAATCCCCTCCTGTCCCTGTCATTAAGACATCACAGGCTGGTGCCTCAGAGTGTGTGCGGATGAAGAACATGCAACATCAATCAAAGCCCCCCCCCGTTCCCTGAGCCCCCTGCAGCCCTGATGTCTCACCCTCAGGGGGCTCCATGTTTCCCCCTCTTCCTCCCTAAATCCCTGCCTTTCTCTCTCTCTCTGCGGAGCTGTGACAGCTACCACAGATTTCATTCTGCCTGCGATAGATCAGGCCGATGACTCATCCTCCTCCTCCTCCTCCTCCTCCTCTTCCTCCTCCTCCTCCTCAGGTGACCCAGCTGCAGCGCTGCGTCTCAGTGCTCAGCTGATCTCTCTCGGTGCTGATGTGAGTCTGAGGAGTCGTTGGACCAACATGAACGCTCTGCACTACGCTGCGTACTTTGATGTTCCAGAACTGATCCGAGTGCTGCTGAAGGCCAGCAAGCCCAGAGGTACACACACACACACACACACACACACACACACACACACACACACACACACACACACACACACACACACACACACACACACACACACACACACACACAAATGTCTCTCTCTCTCTCTCTCACACACAGACACACACACTCTATCTCACACACATACACACTCACTCTCTCTCACACACACACACACACACACACACACACACACACACACACACACACACACACACACACACACACACACACACACACACACACACACACACACACACACACGCACACACACATACACACACACACACGCTGCCTCACTGCCAGTATTACATATACCAGCCACACACACACACACACACACACACACACACACAATGCCTGACCGC